TTCTAATATTTTACTAGTGATTTTTGTCTAGTTCATCTGTCTATTTGTGACAGGAGGGTATTGAGGCCCCCCCATTACAACTATATTAGTGCTTATATGATTTTTCATGTCCTTTAATATTTGCTTTATATAGTTGGGTACACTGCTATTTGGTGCATATATAGTTATGATTGTTATCTCTTCCTCTTGTATTGTTCTCTTCACAAGGATGTAGTGACCTTGTCTCTCTTAATCAGTCTTGGCTTGAAATCCACTTTGTCTGCACATAGAATAGCTACTCCTGCTTTTTTCCAGGTTCCTGTCACATGGAGTATTGTTTTCCATCCATTGACCATCACCCTCCTGACCCAAGTCCAGTAGGATCTGACTTATCACACACCCCACCACCAAAGATTTCTACAAACTTCTAGGGCTTATATGTACAGTGGAGAAGGCTCAGTGGGTTGCCTGAGCTAAGAAAGTCTATGCTCCCCATTTGGATTTTTCCTTATACATACTTGTTTCAATGCACTTAATAATTCATTAATGCTCCCGAATACATAGTAACAAAATTAAAACCCAGAATTTTGTAGGAGTTAATAAAATCGTGGATTTTTAAACTGATATTTATATTAAAGATTGAAAAACAACAGTATTATCTGCCTAATCATTGACTTGATTTAAATCAGTGGCTCTATGATGTGATGATTTTGTCTTCCAAGTGACGTTTCACTGTGCCTGGATATATTTTTGGTTGTCACAACAAAGGGAAGAGAGATACCAGCATCTAGTTGGTAGAGCCCAGAGATGATACTAAATATCTTACAGTGCCTCTAACTTTCTTACAATGCCCAGGATACCCCCACACAAAGAATTCTCCAGCCCAAACTATCAGTCATGCTGAGATTGAGAAATCTTTCTTTTAGTTTTGAAAATAAATTATTTTTGTTATATTCTTCACCAGTAACTCTCAAACTATACATTGTGATGTTTTCTATAGGTAATAATAAAATTTAATGTGACTGATATTTTCATTAATATGATGGAGTTTACCAAAATTGTTTTTTGGTTTTGGGGGGGTTTTTGGTACCAGGGATCGAACTCAGGACCTTGCGCTTGCAAGGCAGGCAGCGGAACCACTGAGCTAAATTCCCAGCCCCTCAAAATTGTATTCTTAAAAAATTTTGTTCAGTTACAAATAATTTGTCCTTGGATTTAGGAACACAGTTCAATTTAAATTTAAATTCAATTTAAATTAAGCAAAGAATCTCCATTTCATATTTTTCAAAAGAATTCCATATATTAAGCACAAACCAAACTACTCTGGAATGCATTTCATGCATTAATAATAATAGTCCTAACAAAAAGATTTTTGAAAACTAATTTGGTTTTTAAAAATTAGGATTTCTAAAAGATAAGATTTCTACAACTAAGAAAATATTAAATGTAGTTTATCTAGTTGGAAACAAGACTGAAAATATTCTCTCTCTTTTTAGCCTCTTCCCTGTTTTATTTCCAAATTTTAGCCATGTTTTATCTTTTTACTTTAGGAAATACTAGTAAGAAGGTATCAAATATTTATATTTGTTAGTCAATTTGAAGACTTTAAATAACTTCTCTTTTCAAATTATTGGGCAAATTTCTAATTAAACAGATGGGCCTAAACTTGTCTTATAAAATTTATATTTTACCAAGTGGGAATAATTAGCAGTAAATAATATGTACTATAATCAGAATATGAATTAGAAATTTTATCTTCTTTTCGCAAAGCTATCATATGACAGAATATTCCACATCCTGCAAACAAATGCAAAAGACAGCCATTTCAATTTGAATTGCTGTCATTTATTATATAAAAAATTCTCTTTAGTTTGCAACACATTTTAATGCCAGATGCATCTGAATTTTCATATGAATTACATTTTCTCATTTGTCTTTCTACAACTTAGAAATATGTCAGTATATATATATTAATTCTATTGCATACATTTATTTACTATGCTACATTACACTCACATTTTTTAATGTTCAGTATTTCCTATTAGAGGTTAATGACAAAAATAAATTGTTCTGCATTTTCAAATATCTATGCCAGAAAAGTTAACTGGTTTTTGTTTGCTTGTTGAAGGTAGTAGAGCAACAATGTCCAATTACAGTAGTATGTAAGCTACAAACGTAATTTAAATTTTTCTAATAGCTTCATTAAAAGAAGTAAAGAGAAATGAGTGAAATGTAATAGTAATACATTTAATTCAACTGACTATATACCCATAATACTTCAATATGCAATCAATATATAAAGTTTATTCAAATATTTTACACTTTTCCCATACTGAGTCTTCAAAATCTGGTATATACTTTACACTTAAAATATATCTAAATTTGAATATAAGTATTAATTGGAAATACCTGATCAATAGTTAGATTTCGTAGAAGTTTAGTTAGAGATTTTACCTTCTTAAGTCATTCTAAACAAACTTTAAAGTGAATAACTGAGTCAAGTACCAAAGAATCCTTTTCCTGAATATTTGACACACTGACAAGTAACTGATTTGACTGTCATGCAAAATCATTCCAATTTCAAAACTACCTATCAGTTTAAAAAATTTATTAATTCTTTTGTCAACTTAGCATTATTAATATTGATTTCAAAGTAAAAAACAATTCTAAATTCATCAATATCAACAAATCCTTCACATTGTTTATACTTTTGCAGCCAATTTACAAATATGGTCAATTATAACTAAAATCTTTTACATATTCATTTGCATGTTAAATCTGTATTATTATTTTGTATTATGAAAAGTCTCAATACGTAATATATATATATACACACACACACACACACACACTAATACCTGTGCAACTCAGTCACTTCTTTTCCCCTTTGATATTTTCAAATGTCACTCAGATAATATTTTCTCAGATAATAATAGACTATTATTATCACATGTCGGAGTTTCAGCTAACTCTAGCCCATGATGACACCATATTTCAGTGGGCTGAGTTAGACTCTTTTATGCAGCTCCTTTCCCCAAGTAAAGGCAGGTCTACTTTTGTACAGGGAGATTCACATTTGATGTTCATTTTACCTGGTGGCAAATTTGCAAAACAAGGAGCTTGTATTGGACCATCAATTAGGCAAAATAATAGGTGATATTCACATCAAATTAAATTACTTTCTACATCGTAATGTATTGTTTCACATCTCTTTTCATTTTTGAAACTTTCTCCCCTTCCCAAAAGTTTTCACTGTTCAAAACAGATACTTTTTATCTGTGTAAGTCCCTTAAATCACCATTTTGAATGTCTTTATACTTAATTCCAAGTACTTCTGGAATTCCAGAAACTTCTGAGGCTAAAATATTGCCCCTAAACCCTTCACTCAGTCCAGGACTCTAGGGCGCTTGGAAACAGTACATATTTAAGTCTTTGCTTAAACTATGAACTCATTGTATAATTAATTATTCTTTAGGCTTTGTGATTTTTTGGATAAGAACTAATAAGTACATTGATTGTACATTAATTTTTATGGCAGTATTATTCTTTCTCTTTTTTTGAAATGGAAATTAAACTCAGAGCCTTCACACTGAGCTACATCTCCAACTATTTTTTCTGTTTTTTATCTTGATACAGGGTCTTGTGCAGTTGCTAAATTCCCCAAGCTGAGCTCAAACTTATGATCTTCCTGCTTCAGCCTCCCAGAGTACTGTGATTATAGGCATGTGCCACCATGCCTGGTTTGAGTATTAGTCTCAATAGGCAAGATACAGAATAACCCAAATGTCCATCAACTGATGATAAACAAAATGTGTATACCCATACACTGTAATGGAATATTACTCAGCCGTAAGCAGAAATAAACTTGGTATGTACTACAAAATGGATGAACCTTGAAAACATTATACAAAATAAAACAAATCAGTCACTAAAGCCACATATTATATTCTCCCAGAGAACAGCCAAATACTGCTACAGGAAATCCCTCACCAGGCCATGGTATTTGAATGCTTAGCCATCTTACTGTTTCTCCAGTTGGCTAACTTCTTCCCATCATAAGACATTTCAGACCTTCTTCACTTTCACATCACTCCCATACCCGATGCCCGCCTCCCTTCCACCATCACCACATAATGTTACCTTTTACTTCACAAAGGAAACATAAGCCAGCAGTAGTCAGTCTTTTATTCTCTTTCTACCCAAATGCATAAACTTGGCTATTGCGTCTTCCTTCTTTCCTTCCTGTTGGAAGAGAAGAGGTACTCTCTTGCTATAAGCTCTTCACTTGTGCTTGGGAGCTCATTCTACCCACCTTCTCAGGAACTTGACACCATTGCTATTACCCCTTTTATTTCCTAAAGGGATCCTTCCCAGCAGCTTCTGAACTTGCTCAAGCCTCTCCTGCGAGCAATATAAAACACTGGACTCAAGAGGTTTTCTGGTATTTCTAACTACTGACTAAATTATGACTACTATTAGGCAAGAATGGAATCATGACTTATAATTTATTGTTGGCCAGCTTTACCATTAGATAATTTCTCATTCAATCGTTATCTTTTTTTTTTTTTTTGGTGCTGGGGATCGAATTCAGGTCCTTGAGCTTGCGCAGCAGGCAGCGAAACCACTGAGCTAAATCCCCAGCCTGAATCGTTATCTTTTTAATTAGGAAGTATTTGCATAAATTCAAATTTTATACATTTTACTTTATTCGAGCTTTTATATTTCATGTCAAATTTACATACAAATGATTATATTTACGTGACTTGATTATTCTTTGTCTCTATCAGTGGACGGTAAGCTCACGAAGTTTCTGGGTCTGTGTTTCCAAATGACATAATAGCTCAGTAAATAGCTTTTAAATAAATGAATAAAGGGATAAAATTCTATAATGTAGAACAAGAAAGGGACTAAATATCAATTTGTTTAAAACCAGGCTAGTTTGTAGATGTTAAATATTTTCAAATGTACTGTACATCATGATGTTGAAAATGAGCAATGACGTTCTCTGATATTTTACGCAGGCCATGGAAGCAGGACTCTTGGAGGTAAAAAATGAGCTACAATCACGTGATGACCTCTTGAGAATTATAGAAATGGAACGATTGCAGTTACACAGAGAATTGTTAAAAATAGGAGAGTTCCAAAATTCTCAAGAAAATAAAAAGAGGTATAGTCTTTATATTAGATAGTTTGAAACTATTCCAAACACATTTATATATTTTAAGAGTTTTATTTGAAACTAGAATAAAAAGTTTATTTTTAATTAACATGTTAATTGATGTATAAAGAAAATACTAAGATAAAATTAATTATTACTTTATCTTCAAAATTAATCTTTACCTAGAAAATTGTATCATGTTCTAATTTGTGGATACTCTGTCACACTGAGTCAGAAATTTTCTTAGAACTTTTATTTTTCAGGCTATCATAAAAACAATAGCATAGAGCTGATATTTAATTATATATTTGCAGATAAATAAGGTTTATTCTGTATTTCTCAGTTGGTCGCCTATAAACCTGTTTGTTGTTCACTTACCTCCACACTCGCCATTTTGTTAGTTCCATTAAGGATCCTTGTTAAAACATTATTTTCCTATTTAAAGCCAGACAGATATTGTGTACTCCATAACCACAAATAAAATTGGACTGCTGAGGATTATTAAATGTTTATGATTATGAATAGACTGTTTTACTGCTTTAATAGTTAATTGATGTAGAACTTTCTTAGAATCACAAAGGTAATGTCAAATCAGTGACAGGATTTTAAAAACTGAGTAGCCAATGGTGAGAGATATTTTATTGAATGATAATTTTTGTTTTAAAGGCAATAATTATTTTTTCAAAGTTGTGGGACATTATATTTTTTTCAAATTTGTCCTCAACAACAAATGGTAAGTTAAGATCCCTAAAATGACCTATTGCATACCTTGCCAAGGACAGCAGGGTACCTATTAGTCAGCATTATTGAGTGCTCTATATACAGCTATACATCACTATCATGGATGATTAATAAATCTATTCAATATTTATTATGTGGAAGGTGCTGTTCCACTGTGCTGAATTGGTGAGAAATGTTTTCACACAAAGAAAAAGAATGTATATGCCTTAAAACATAAGATATTTTATAGAAGAACACACTATTCAACCTGTATCTATCTCTGGTTTTATGAAGAGTATGGTATATACTTTTTATGGCACTCTTACATGGCCAGTGCTGAATTCCAGATATTGCCACATTTCCTGGATCTCATCCAGAGTCTTGTATTTATTCACATATTTATCCAATAGAAACTCTTTTCTCCCTGCTTGCCATTATCTATTTAATTGGCATGTATTTTGGTCTCTAAATTATATCTTTCTTATTTGGAAATATCCCTCAGTGAGATTTCATGAAATCTTATGTATTTAACTTTTCACATTGCATTGTATTTAGAGTTCTCAACCTTCCTCTTTGCTACTGCAAATTCGGATTCTTTTATTTTGTTCTCACATGACTGCTGTTCTACCTGCTTTGTTGTTTTGATTTCTTTTATTTGGACTCTTGTTTCTTCTTTATAGTTGTATTAAAGAAAGGTAACCCAGACTACTGAAAGAAAGTACAGGCACAATGGTTTCATAGAAATAGTACAGTGATGTTTTTATTATCTTCAGAACCTTTCTCAGTAATCTAAATTTTATTAGCTTTTTATTTTCTTTTATTACTTGTAGAAGCATCTTGGGCTGATATGTTTTTGCATTATTACAAATAACTACAGTACTTTTTTCTATATGACAAATAATAGTTTCTTTCATAAACATTTTATGTTAGCATGATTATTATTTTCTTACTACTTGTCCATATTAGAGTTTGACTTTTTTTCCATTAATTCACCAAACTTTGCAAGTTTGCCATGAGATTTTTAGCATTCAGTTCAGCATTTTACTCCCTGAAATTGCTTAGAAGAATTGAGAAATAAGGAATTTCATTTTTCACCTTTTGAATTCATAGAAAATTAGAAAAATTTAAGACTAATCCTGAAATAATATATTGGGAGAATACTGAATAAAATGGAAATGCTTGCGATGTATTATTAAGTGGAAAACAAAAGGAGACTGAAAAATAATGTTCACAGTATATTTCCATTATAGGGGAAATGTGTACTTATGCATACATGGAAAAAAGACAGTATATGCAAAAATGCTAATAACAGTTTCTTCTGGAAAACATTATAGCAGTGTATTACCGTTTGATATGCTCTGTTATCCACAATTGATACATGTGTATATATAAAACATATTTTATACATCACCCACATACATATACCTCCAAGATATCATTATCAATTTATATTTTTTGAAAGATCCTTTATTTTCAATCTAATTATTTCTTCATCATTAATGATTTTGGTCTGTTGTTTTATTTGTGAAGCTTATATTTTTGATATGCGAAACCTTTTCACAAATGCTTTGGAAATCTAAAATTGTACTCAGCTAAATCTAAAATTGTACTCAAATAGGTATAGTCTTCATAACTCCAGACTCCACAAAAATAGTAAAGTCTGACTTCCAGTGGAAAGCATGCTGTTTGGCCTGCATGGCTATCTTTATTTTAGTATTTTAATAATTTTTATTTTACCAGTTTGTCTCATATGGATGTGAACATTGCCTCCTTGTATTTCACCAAATTTCTTATAGGAATTGAAAGTGCTAGACCATCAGATTTAATCATTTTTGAGCACTTTTATTGAGTAGTTGTTCCCCTTGGACTTTTCATGTCATAGTTACTTTCTGCAATGCATTAGCAAGTTGGGTGTGTTTCCTTTTTTAGGATGGGTTCCCAAGCTATTTATTGTAGGAAGCAATCTGGTTTTTTAATACAAAAATCTTATGTGCATATGCAATACCAGTGTTCTGCCAATTTTTAATGTATAATTGAAATTCCATATTAATTGCTACCTTTTTTCCATTAAAACCATTTGCACTCAAAGATATAAATACTTAATGGGATATGAATGTATTAGGACTTGCAATTTTGCAACTAAAAATATTTCCAACAAAATAATGATCTATCTCTGCAGCCTACAGTGGTCTAAATTAACAATATAATCATAATAATTTATCAAATTAAGCATAATTTTGCTTCTTATTTTATTTTTAATTTGTAGACTTGAATCATCTTATTCACCTTCTATTGAAGAAACAGAAAGGAAAAAGAAAGAGCTATTTTCAGTGGTCCCGGATCAACCAAATCAAGAAAAACAATTAAACAAGGTATGAAAAATAATGAGGTCCATTCTTTCAGGTAGATCTGAAGTCTTTGCATACAAACAGGTATAAAAATCTTCCTTTTCACTCCCTTCCTTTTCCTTCTATATTTTCTCCTAATAATATCTATCAAGTTAATAATTCTGGCCTTATTCCATGTAAACAGGACCCTGAGTTATCATTAACCATGAAATGAGGAGGGCCAGTGGTTCTGTGACAGGTGGCATACAGCAAGAAAGTTGATAGCAAGACTTGGTGCTCAGCCACATGTACAAGCTTAGGGAAGTTGCTTGTGCTCATTCTGCAGGATTGATGATTCGTGCCTATCTCATAAGGTTGTTATAAGGATTAAATGAGCTGATAATGCCTCCTCTTTACATTCCACTTACCATGTGACAGGAAGTGTTCTAAGGATTTAACAAATCCTAATTCATGTATTCCTCTCAACCATCTTACAAAATGAATCTAAATATTATCTCTTTTTTATATTTTAGGAGACTAAGACACTGAAAAGTTTAGTAACTTCTCCAACATTACTTGACCTTCTGTTAAAATCTATGAAATAGTGCACGTAAAATGCTTAGAGCAAGGCCTGGCTCACAGGAAGCACCTAGTAAATACTGGCTGCTAGTGTTTTCAGTAACACCCAGTTTTCACAGAGCACCTGACATATGCCAAGTACTCTGCCAGAAGCAAGGAATACAAGATGAATAAGATGTGGGTGTTGTTCTTAAAGAGTCTGCAGTTCTCTACTCTCCTATAGAAAGTATATTCTCTTCTAGTAAGATTTAGTAATGTCTTTCTTTCCATGATTTTATCACCTCATGGAAAGCTACTGTCTACACTCTCTGGTCTTTAGGTTTGAGAATCAGAATGGATGGATATTCAACACTGTAAAATCTAAATAATAGTTGATAGTTAAGCAAACTTGGGCATGGCTTGGAATTATCATCTAGTGCACACTGCACATTACTTGATACACTGTAAATGAAAGTAAATATTTAGAGAATGAAGTAACTAATATTAAATTTGTTACCCCATAAACTCAGTTGTTTGTATAAATTCAGCAGCCATTTATTGAGCACATAGTAGGGTTATAACTGTTCCACTAATTTTTATAGATATTCATATGAAAGATGGCTCCTGTTTGACAGTTGACTGTCAGAGAACTAGTACAGGTTAAGTGTACAAAAGGTGTTACAAATTAATAATCATTCCATTATATTTTGAATACTTCAATAATATACAGTCTCATGAAACTAATTTTACTGATTTTAAAACTATACCTAAAAATCTGTCCTTTACTGATGACCCCAGTGAATGCATTAGGCTAAAGGCCTGATTAAAGCTACCTGAAGCCACCTATATTACACCCTTCTAAACCTCACTGATTTTGAGAGTAATAAAAGTTTTAATATAAAGAATCTACTGATTTCCCACAGTTTTGACATGGAGGGAGAGAATGTGAGGCACAAATCTCTTTGTAGGCTCTTGGAGAGTTACCCGATAGTGCCATGCTGTGCAGAAAAGGTAACAAATGAATTGTATATAAATAGCTATAGCTTCTTGGAAGTGTTTGTGGAGAGCATTTTCATACTCTGGTAATAAAACCAACAAGAGCCATGTATTATAAATCTTGTGTTTTCTTTTCTCCTTTTCTAGTACAGAACTATTTTTAGTCATTTATTTTGTTATAAAATTCACATTTTTAGTAGAGCTAAAAGTCATTTGAAGCTCAGGTAAATTAAGAAATAAGCTTTGCAATATAGCATTTTGTTTTAATAGCTAAACGTTATAAAAATAATAAAAATAGTTTATAACAATATATTTTTTCCAAGTTCCATTTTAAGAGGAACATGTTAAACCATACCACAGAAAGGAATTAACAAATCCAGATGAACTGCAGAACAATGCTGTTGTCTCATCAGATGAATTCCAAGAAAAAAAGCTGGAGAGAGAAAATTAAAGGAGACTTGTAACATTGTTCTGGATTAGGATGTTTGCATTCCAGTCCTTTAATCCCTTCTTTTGCTTCCAGGATTCAATAATTTAGGGCCAGTCAGTTTTCTTTCCTTTTTTCTTCCACCTGTTAAATGGTAGTGTAAAGTCTGTGTGATGTGATTGTCATGTCCGACTTCAAAATTCTAAAATGTTTATAATAAGAATAGAATCAGGTGAGGGTGAATGGTTCTGATGATGGTGCAGATTTTCCTCTGCACATGTTTGTGTTCCATAATAGGCCATCCTGCTCTAGGTATCATTCCCTGAAATCTAGGTTTTTCTAAAGTATGAACAACTTTCCAGGGCCTAGCCACAAGAGGCTAGGAGCATAGTGGGTAGAGTCACAGGTCTAGGAATCAGGCTGCCTATCACAAGAATGTAACTGTAAAACTTTTTTTATGCACTTTAATATTTTTTTAAATCTGAAAACAAAGAGTTTGTGAGAACTGAATAGATGAAGCACATAAACACAGAGAAACACATAAAAAAGATACATGAGCCAGTTTCAATGGATGGACAATAGTTAAAGCTTAATTCAATTAAACTTAAAGGACATTTGTTACATTTTTTTAAACCATTTTAAATGTGAACTGAGCCCAGATATTTGATGAAATTGAGTAATTATTAATTATTTAAGACATTGTGGTTATGTTAAGAGGGTGTGTAAATGAAAGAAAAATGCATTCTTGTTCTTTTTTTTTTGTACTGGGAATTGAACTCAGGCCCTTGTGCTTGTGAGGCAGGCGGTGGCACCACTGAGCTAAATGCCCAGCACACCCTTGTTCTTTTAGAGATGCACACTGAAACATTTAAAGATGAAATGGAAAAAAAAAAAGACATTTTAAAGCTAAATGTGCTGGAGTAGATTTATGTAAATCCCTTTATGAATAACCCCTATCTAACCTTTTCAGCCTTATTTCTCATAACACACTTGATCCAGCCATCCAAACTCCTTTTTCACTGAGTGTTCATTGTTCCCTGGACTTCACTGTAGTACTTGCCTGGGAGTCTTTCTCCATGCTGTGACTTCTGACTGGCTTCCAGTTGCCCTTCAGTATTCAGTCTCATGACCTCTCCTTGGGAATTCTATCTAGACATCCATCCCCACATTGTTACATACTCTCCACTACTATTGCTAACAACCATTAACATACTATACTGTCATTATCTGTTTATATTTCTGTTTCCCCAATGGACTATGATGTTTTGAGATTGTTGATTGTATGCTTTGTCTCTGAATATCAAGAACTAGAAACTGTGAGTGGCTTGTAGAAATAATGCTAGCAGGCTGGACCGACATAGCAGTAGTAGGAATGGAGAACAGAGGAGAGACTTAGGAAAGGTTGAAACAGAATGCAGTGATTTTGTTGCCTGAGTAGGTTTGAAAGAATGAAGGTGGATAGGAGTCCAAGATATAAAGAGGTCCCTACCATGAAAGATTTAGCCAAGAATAAGAATATAAGATACTCCACAGGCTTAAGCGGGGAGGAGGTTGTGATGCATGTTTATGGACACATTAAGTTTAAAGTTCATTATAATTGTTTATGGGCACATTAAATTTAAAGTTTATTATAATTGGTTCTAAAATACATAGTGTTTGGTCTCAAATGGTACAGCATAAGTCATTTAAACTTTTTCAGTAATTTTTTCTCCATAAGAAGTTCTTCATAGTGTTTTCTCCACCTTTCAAAGTAGTTATCAAAGTAGTGTCAGTAATGGGTGATGATTGGTACACAATTGAAAATAGAAATGAGATCACGAAAAAGCAGGAAAAAGTACAAATGACATAAAAAAA